CCCCCCCCCATGTATCTAGAAATTCTAGATGACCTTTTCATCATTCGAGAAATGGACATTGCCAGTAATCGTTAGGAAAGGAAAGAAGCATATCAGGACCCATCGATGACTCTCCAGTGCGAATCGTGTAAGGATTGTGTCTCAGTGTCATTTGCAAGAAAAAGACGAGTACACTTGGCACCAAGAGGAAGTCGTCAACAAGCGTCGGTAGTACTACTCCTCCATAGAACACTGGTCATTTATAATATAATATTATTAGCGCTTTTTTTTTCTTAAACTCAGTAGCCGGTGTAATCGTGCCAGGGTCCTCCCCTCTGTGTTCTGTACTGACTTCCGCTTATGTGGATAGTTTCCGGTGTTCTGAAGTATACGGTTCTAGGACGTTCGTTCATAGATGGAACATATTGGGTACTTGGTACAAATGGTTTTTGTTGTTGGTTGTGATGCTGCTGCTGTAGTTGCTGTTGTGAAGTAGTTGGCCTGGAGAACTGATAGTTGTTCTCAGAGGATTGGAGTACCGTGTCACGACCCAGTTGACGATGCAAGGGAAGTACAAAGCCTCCTGATAGGCTAGACTCCTGGTTGAGCGTCGGCGTCAAGGCGTCATTTAGGGTAATGTCATATTCGCTCTCAGGAATGTCCTGGAGAGGGTGAGTAACCTCATTTATTCTTTGTTTCACCCGAAAATTTCCATTGGTCGATGACTGATCTTGGGAATCATCAGTTTTGTACGTTGAACTGTAGAGATTAGTCTCCGTCGAGGGATGACGAATTTGGCCACGGTTGGCAGTGTATCCTGGATTTTCGTTTCCCTTGGGTCTATCCTGAGCCGATTGTTCTATACTGTCATTCCAGGATGGTGACTCTTCCTGTTCCTGGGGTCTTCGTTCCATTGGAGATCCTCTTCCTGATCCTGGTAGTTCTGCACTTGGTGCTTCCTCATCCTTGTTTAGGGGTTTTCTTGCGGATGGTCTAGTGACTATGTTGTCGGGTTCTTCGGGTCGCTGCTTCTGCTGAAGATCGCTCTGTATAGCCTTGTAAGCATCGTACGGCTGTTTGGACGATTGAGAATCATCCTCTGGAACTGCTCTTCGTACTTCATCATCCTCATCCTCGTCTTCCTCCTCCAGATAATCTACCTTCGGCTCCTCCGTAGTCGTTATCTTAGTCCGCGTTCTATCTTCCTCGCGCCTTGCAGATCCAGTTGATCTATTACCTACTGGTAATAATCCTCTGGGGTTCGGATTGCCTCCTCTAGATGGCAGGAATGGTCTCTTTACGATACGCACTGTTGTCCTAGGTGAAGGTGCTGGAGGATCCTCAGGCTCGTCATAGTATTCTGAGGAATACTGCTCGGCAGAGCTTTGCTCCTGTGTATGATCATCTTTATAATAAGTTTCCGGTTTTTCAGTACGCTCAGGTCGTTGAGGTTTCAAGGGTCGTTCTATATCCTTGTTTTGGTCTTGAACAATTTCTGTAGGAGTATTGTTATTTGACTTCACAGGACGTTCCTCGGGTTCTGAAGGTCTCCCAGGACGATCAATGGCATCAAGATGGTCCTCATGTATCACTGGATCTTCTACTGGAGCAACAGTCGTCGTGGTAACTGCAGGCTTTTCCGTAGATCTATCATAAATATTCGACCTTCTAGGCACTTCGCTCGAAGAGGACGGAGATGCGGATAATCTAGGACGATCTTCTCTATCTCGTTCAGCAGTTCTTCCCGTGTACGGTCTCTCTGATCGTTCGCTGTCCTGAGATGGTCTGACACGTTCCTTTCCTCGATCCAAGGATCTATCCCTGCTCCTGTCACGATCGTAATACCTGTCCCTAGATCGTTCAGGATACTTCCTAAGTCGTAAGTCGTCTTCCTCGTCCCTGTATCGCGATCTGCAAAAGGTACCAGGAAGATAACAGTGAAAAATCAATCAGAATGTTAAAAGTCGCCAACGACACGTGAGCTTGTTATCGTGATTGTTACTTTATGTATTGTTACTTATAGTACTGTCTGTTTGTTCTGAATGATAATGAACAGAATGACTGTGACGTATGTAATGTATGATATGAATGAGTAATGTTAAATTGTATCTGGTGTCGTGTACGTTACCTTACCTCAAGGGCCGGTCTCGATCCCTCACATCGTAGAAATCACGATCCCTATCCCGGTATGCAGGTCGTCTTCTCATAGGACGACGTGGTCTCACCTCCTCGAGGTCCTCCTCGTAGTAATCATCCTCAGGAATGTCAGCCGGTCTTCTCCGAATCTCGTCTGCAAAGTCCAATCTCTTTAAACTAGTATTTTATCAAATTAAACAGGTTATTCAGTACAAACGTACTAACGGAAGTTAATTCTACTATAGAAATAAAAGGCGGAAGGTTAACTTCCGGTGGTACGTTTGTTGTGAATAACCCTGTACATTAAGATAGTCTGTATTTTACCAGTGGGCTGTACAGCAGTGACTTTATAAGCGTATTTTTCCTGTTCAGATAACGGTACCGGTCTACGAATCTTCGGCGGCACCCTGGGTCTGGCGTAAACTGACGAACTAGGTGCGTTAGGCTTCACTAGACCTTCAGTGGTACCGGGTGTGACTGCAGAAGGTACCCCACCATCCTTGTCGTCATACTCTTCTCTATGTCTAGGACGTGAGTATAAAAAATAATTTAATAACTCAGTCCTGATTCATCTTATCAGCATCCTGGTACAAACCTCTTGTCCGGGTATCTTCTGTCATCCGTATCTCTAGACCTGGAGTCAATAGTTCTGCGGTCATCAACCTCAGGATCATCCAATACTTCCTTGGACCTAGTTCCAGGTTCCGGATCACGAGTCCTACTTCTAGGTTCTTCCTCGACGGGATCTCTAGTACCTCGTACAGGGTCTCGTCGGTTGGATCTTGGAGGATAACGTTCTCTAGGTGACATCTCGCGATCTCTATCATCCCTTAAGGGTCTATCAGGTTCCCTAGTCCTGGGTGGATCTCTATCATCCCTCAAGGGTCTATCAGGTTCCCTAGTCCTAGGTGCATCCCTATCCCTTACATCGCGATCTCTGACGTCTCTGTCCCTAAAGCGTCTATCCCTGTCACGATCTCTTCTGAATTTCCTATCCTCATAGTCATATTCCTCCCGTCTGTCGTATCCTCCTCTACCCTTGGGTCTGTCAAAGTCATCATCATAGTAATAGTCATCGTAGTAATCATAAGCTGGCCTCCTTCTGAACGGCGGCCTTCTTCTGCCAGGTAGATCCCGGTCGCGTGGTGCCCCTCTGGCTGGCGGGGCCGTAGCTGGTGCCTGCGTCGTGGTAGTCGTCGTAGACGTTGTCGTCGTTGTGGCAGCCTGGTATAGAGCATCATTTCTGTGCCAGTACTTCTTCGAATTGGCACAGTCGACCTCGGACGCGAAGTGGCAGATGAAGGTCTTCTGATCAAAGGCTGTGAAGTTGGCACAGAGGAAATCGTATCGCGTTCCAAACAGACAGTGATGATAGACCTTTATTAGAGAGTACAGAGAAAGAAAAAAAAAATATTACAAAAATTATTAACCAAAGCACACTAGAAGTAACACCCCCGTCATTCATGGAACTTGTTATTAGTGATTTTTTTTTTAAAGGCAACGCAATAATTCACTGCCTGCTTTTCACTTTAAACTTTCTCGATCGTACCTTCATAATTGTCCTGGCCCATATGCACTTCTTTGAGAGTGCATACCAGTTGCATATACATATACGTGGACGGAGCGTAAAAGTCGCAGCAGCTGTGTGGCATAGAATAGACTCGAGTCGAGTCATTCAGTGGAAATCGAGACACGTATTTGCGCAATAAAAATTACAAAAGAAAAATTGATCAACTGGAGTTCAACATTCGTATTAGCTATATGTACTATAACTGTGCTCCTGTAATCCGTGTACTCATAGAGAAAAGTCTGTGGTTCTTATATCGCCAGTTCTCTTTTGCCTACTGTCTCTCTGTCTCTCTCTCTCTCTCTCTCTTATTTTCTGACGCTCTCGTGCATTTCTAACAGTTTCCGCTTTCGGAATCGAGTAAGGATCAGAGATCCTCATTGGTACAGTAGTAAAGCGAAGTAAGACTCTCTCATTGAAATTTGCATGACAATGGCTGATTTGATTTTTCGATAGCACCGGATATCCTCGATTACCTATTTCTCAATTAGAAACCCTCCCTAATGATGGATTCATTATATTCACTCGCGAACTAATTCTAAGTGCTGAAACGATAAATACCAAGACTGTACCCGTGACCGCATCGTCTCGCGCCAATGGCGTCTCCGCTTTCGATCAGGAGCAGTAAAAGTGCAATAAATTGTTTAATTCCTCTATCACTTCCGCTTCTTTTTTTACATTCGTCTCAATCTTTCCGAATGATCAACGTGGATTCCCTCGTTACGCATCGTCGACCGATACATTACCAAATACGTGGTGAGCAATTAAATTGCGATTAGGATTATTGTAGCGCGTCGATTTCAGTATAGACTATAGTCTAATAATCTTGGACTATGAATAAAACTAGTTCTAAACGTGTTTCTTACGTGCTCTCATAATTACATGGATCCTTATCAACGTGTCTCCCTGTATATTCTTTTTTCGTTCCTATTACGCACGCGCCTGCTTGTATGTCGCTACGTGTAAACGTTGCCTAACCTAAGTGTGATCTGTCGCGTGAATGTTAAATGCCAGTGAAATTGATAGTCGACGAAAGTAAAGAAAGTTTTGGGCGTTGCGATATCTCGCGATTTTGTAAACGTATCAGACAGAAAGTATTAACGGTTTGAAATATTATGTTGCGGTGCTAGAAATAAAAGGATTTTGGTACCTGACACTTGTGCGGTACGCTGGCGTAAAATCCATCATGGAGACCGTCGCATTTGAAGTCAATCTCTTCAGGTATGCTATTGTAAAATGGATATTCACTCAGATTGTAACCATTTAATTCACGTGGTAAATTAGGATCCCATATGTAGTCGATTTGTGGAATTCCCGTCAACGTGTGGCCAGTAGTTGCGTTCACTTCTGTAGAGACTGTCGTTACCTGAAAGGAATATCAAATGGCGGGATTTAAAGAATTTTTTAAAAATCATCGTCTTTCAAATGTAATTTCTGTTTTTCTGTATAAATGACATATTTATTTGCTGTTGTAAAGATTCAAGGTTTTCTGATGGAATGTGTTTCGTTGATGGATGCTTTATATCTGTGTTGTCTTAGCTTCGGGCTATATAAAATATTCTTGAAAAGATCTTGAGAAGTTATATCTACATAAATGCAAATGGCGACACTGTAATTCCGCAATGATAACAAGCGACCGAGGAGCATATGTTTTCTTTTTATGCAATTTCTAATGCCTTGCGTCTGTTGTAAATTATCCGATGCATATAATTCGATTGTGCTCTCACACTAGACCTATACCTGGTATGTCCCACATTTTCAGTTTCCCACGTATGTAATGTGTCAAGGATCTTGTGGTATGGTTAAAGAAGTAAATCGGAAAGTTTTTTTATTTATTTGTTTTTCTCGAATTAATTATTAGCACTGTTATTTGTCAAATAGAATCATTTTTCACGTACCTCGGTATCCTCCGTTTCCGGTTCTTCCGTAGTGGTTGTACTGGTTGTAGCAATTTTAAATTTCGGTCTGGTAGCCTTCAGTGCACCGGAAACAGCCGATGCCAGTAGCAACCCTGTAAGTATAATTCATTCTTTCCTCTCAATGATACTTTCAATTTTATTCCAGGCGTAGCAGCGAATTTCAAAATCGACTTCAGACGGATTTAACTAACAAGAAGATGCGACTGGATTACAAAATCGATCTGACGCAATTATCCAGATACGGCACGGATACCTGGTAATTGTTATAAAAGAGGATCAAGGCTGTTCATGATACATCCATAGATTCATCTACTGGATCCTCTATTCGATCAATCTTATAAAGACAGTGTGGAGACACCTTTAGGAGGTTAGCAAGTGAATGCACGACCTCGTCGATGAAAACTCGCCTCCTACTCTTGTAACGGGATTTACTTTTCCATGGTGTATATATACGGCCGTAGCCATAGGAGCTATGTGAGTATTACTGTACCAAGTCGATATTGCATACACAGGTGAAAAAAAATCTGTAACGAGGGAGTCTGGGCTAATGGTGTATAAAAGTGAATTATGAGAATGCCCCATGAGGGGGGACCTCACATTCCTATCATGGGAAGTAATACCAGAGTAGGCGTGTATGTTGCTCCAGTAGTTGTATTGCCACAGGACTGTATAATTTCTATGAGGAAATGTTTGTTTGATTACTGTTTCATCACACTCCTTTATAATTTATTAATTAGAATAAGTAGCAAACACATCCTTAAGATCCATCTTAGCCATTGAAATCTATCGTAGGAGTTTGCTGTAGGGCTTTTGAATAATTATAATATGTGCTTCAGAGAGACAGGTTACTAAGTATCTTGGTCACACAGACATTTTATTAATGAAATAATTTATTGAAATTTTTTGCAGACGGTTGCACAGTAGTTTTCACTTTTAAACAAAAATCATAATGAAATATTCCTTGAGGCGAATGGATGCAAATGGTATGAAGCAAGTATTGGTATTTAGTATCTCTTTCTCTTTTAAATTCTCTGCTAGTGTGAAATGTCAGAAAGCACTTGAATGTTAAGTCAAATCACGTCATCGAGTTTACGTTAAATATCATGCATGGCTATTTTAGCCTATGTACATTTGTTTGATGGGTGATCATCTTCGCTCTTGCAAATTCTCCCTGGATTTACTGTACAGCTTCAAGATAAATATTCACTGTACCAAGCCTGTTCGATGCAGAACAAAGGATTGTCTTTTATATTCTTCTCATACCTGATGAGTCAGAGAGTCAAGTTGCAGGTGGAATAAGCCATGGGTTAGAATGATTTTTTATTTTTCATAAAGCTGTCAAAAATGTATACAAGTGACCCGTACTGTTTCATTTATGTGACAGTGCAGTATATAAATATTGTATGTACTCACCGTATAGCATAAGCAGAAGCCATACTCTCTCCCGCATATTGTCTCGTCTGAAAAATAAATCATAATAGTGATTTGGAATGAACAATATTAATATTTATATCTAAAATATTCATATTCCAGAAACATGGCGGTTACTGCAGGTGCATGGTACATGTAACGGAGCCATACAAGAACACAAGAGATCCTGTTTACAATCGATTCGACGCGAATGACTCTCTTGCTGATTTGCGCAACGAGACCTGAGGTTGTTATTAAGTAGAACTATGGCGACACAATAGCAGGCGAGAAAATCGTTGATTCGAAACGGGGCGAAAGTAATAGCAGCATTCGTGTCGCTGTCAGTCGTCGAGATAACTAATGCAAATTATTATCTAACAATTAGGTCCAATTCATACGAGAGACAGCGCTATAGAGAAGTGGATAAAAAAGTAATGGATGGAAGCTTTAAAGTATATCGAAAATATTTAACGTGGATCCAGAGGCAAGTCAAGAAGAAAGTTTTTGTATTGACGTTGGCGTCTGAGAATTTCGAATCTTGATTATCAGATCTATCGTCTCCGTTAAAAACGATTAACCGACCATAACACGTCTGAGCGCAACAAAATTCTCAACGTTCCTCTACAGCATATGGGAACGGATAGAGGGACTTTCTCTGTGCTGTCACCACTGCTAACCATAATATAAGGATAATGGGTGTTATATAAATGCAGGATCACGTAATACCGGGTGATACCGATTGTCCCAATGTTTTTGTTAATAACCAATCAATACTTTTAGATAGTTGTATGGATTTTTTCAACTGCTAGCTGTAGGAGTTCCTCATCAGAATAATCATCTATCTTATGAAGTACATAGTAGCTGATAAGTATGTTGGCCACGCTGGTGAAAGTATAACCTTGTAGCACGGATCTGTTTTTTTGGATTTGGAATTTCAGTGTCCATCTTCATCAACTTCGTCCGATCCAGTCTTTGTCCAATCACTTGGCCGAAAGCTTACATGGTTATGATGATGGTGTATGGTATAATATCAGGAATCGGAACGATAGGTAGAGTGTATAATGGCGGGTGAGGCGAGAGGAGAAGAAAAGTGAAATGACGAACTGCAGTCGAAGATGTAGGACACAAGCGGTTAATCAGCCACCGTGGCGAATTCTCGCATTAATTAGGAAGTAAGCACCGCGCTCCAGTTCGCAGACAATTATTAAACGACGTAAAAGCTATAGAGAAGGAGAAGCAGCCTCGTTGCAGACGCTTGGAAAGATGTGAAGGCTATTGCACAAGATGTATCTCTAAGTTATTCATTTCAGTTGCCACTTCTTTGTAGAGCAAGTGAATGACACATTCTTAAATTGGATTAGAGGGAAGTGAAGGATGATAAGCATTAGAAAGCGACAAAGACTTTAGAACGCGTGGTGATAACATCCGGCGTACGGCGAGAATCGTCCAAATCTAAGATGTCGCTTGAGAATTTTTAGGGTCTTTCAGTATATTCGTTGAAAATGATAGAAAAAAATATGCATGCGACCGAAGATTCTTGCGTCATTCTATGCTCGATGGTATGAGCGACGTTGTGTTGAAGTTACGCCATACTACATAACGGTTAATACGAAGGAGTCGCAAAGGTTACCGGAAGTCACGTGTGTCAGCGTGATCAAAAGATTGACAAATTTTTTAACGAATCTCAACAGCTGCTTACCTCTTTTTTAGACGGATTAAGTAATTACCGATGTCTAGAAAACCGTAGGATATTGTTTAGCTCGTACAATTTCTTCGCAAATGTTTGAATTGTTTAAAAATTTTTTTTTTTAACTAAGTCAAGAATTCGGGGTTTGTCTCTATCTTTTTTTTGTCTGCTGTTATTTCGAGAATATATATTGAAATACTGGAATCACAATGCTTGGCAAAAGGCGTGGTTAAAATACTTGATAGCCTTCAAAAGCATTGCGGGGCTGGCAGTCCCGCCGTAGGCTGCCTTACAGCCAGTAGCTTTCATTTCCTTGTATACTGTAGAAACAGCACCCAGTTTGTATAAGACTTTGCTTGTTCTTGTATATCTTGTTAATAAACTTACTAGCGTAAGTGCGATAATATAGCAATGACGTTGACTAGGTATGAGGATGAACCCTGTTATGTAAAAATGATAGATATTTTTCTCTGGTACAAAATCCATTGGTTTCCTACATGGAAACTTTTCCCTGTTACATACCAATGTATTCTTGCATAACGTAAACAAAAAAAGGAACAATGAAGATACTTGGCCTAAAATACAATAAGTATAACGTGCACATATTTTGAGTATACTGTACCTAGTACGTAGGGAGAATGTATATTGAAATTGATAACTGATTTTTTTTTATTTACGTTACCAGTTTATCGATTGTCTCGTGAAGGCCAGATCGACTTTGGCCGAAAGAAAAATAGAGCAAGTATGTATCTTAATGTCTCTTTTTTTTAGTCCGCTTCATTCTCACCCGCCAATCGCTGCATAGAGAGTAACCGTCCTGTATGCGTGCGGCCTTGTGCGAGAATACTCGAAAGCGTTGCTCGTAATCCATTTCTACGCTTTTCATTAGCAAACATAGTTCTCGTAATTAACCACTAGAAAGAGCGTTACATTTTTCCCTCATATTTTTGCATTTATATTCAAATAAGACGCGCGCGCACGCAAATGCACAAGTTACGAAAAAACAGGGGGTTTCCCGGATTCTCATGTGCGCGCATCCACTGCAGCCGTGCGCGCGCAAGCGATCATCACCTCGCTGATTTATCATGTCAAGGCGGCGGGATGGGCGTATTAAAATTTTAGTGAAAGAAAAAAAGTTGAAGGAAGAGGTGTAAACAATGGGCAAACGTGTACGGGATATTTGGTAATTTCGAAAAAAACGAAGGACCACCCACTCTGCCATCTAGAATTTGATTAGTCATGGCTGAACGGAATTCCAACGGCATTGTCGTGGAATGGATTTCAATTAAGTTAACGAATATGATACCGTTCATCCAATGGACAAAGATTATAACGCACAATGAAAATGCTTGGGATTCGCTTAACTCGTACCGTTATACCATTCTTACTGTAGTCGTAATACAGGCAGGATGATCAGGCGTTCCTCGATTCTCGGACATTGACCACTAGCAGTGCTTATTTCTCGTTTCAAAAAGTCCCACGCAAAATGGTCACGTCTACTTCTATGTTTAACCGAGCGTAAACATTTTTTTCAACAATCCAGTCTCTGTTGTATAATACCACAAGGCTGTACAGTAAATTACACTCAAGCTAACAGACGGAGATTTGAAATTCAGCGCTTTTCCCATAGATGTCGCTGCGAGCGCTGCCAGCGCTGACGTCAAAGTTACCTGTCTGTCTATTGCCAAATTTCCAGTACACTTTACTTGGAAGTGAAATTTCTTTGAAATCACGTAGAATTGCATTGACACACATACATTTTTTAAAAAATAAATTCTTCACAAGTGCGACTCGATACAGGAATACAGGATACATTCTAGGAAGTATACATCCCGTGGAAAAATGGTAACAAAATAAGGAAGCCCGGCTTCCTGGCGGTGTTAATTCACTTTCGAACGGTCGAAAGTGAATGCGAGCATTAGAATACATTAGCATCTACTCGGAAGCAAGAAGGTTATGAAGGAATAATACGATGGATACTCCTACACGTTAAATGGATTCTGTAACGTTGATACTTGCATTCTAAAATCTTCGAGTTTTATTACGTTCATTCAAAACTCTACAAATGGATCCTGCCTATTGGCGATCGAAAGTCTGTCTGGAAAGTTTTGGACTCGTTAATTAAAAGCAAAGAAGGCGGTCTTCTGGTGCTCGCCTGTGTTAAGGTATCTCATTGGCTATTACTACTATGAGTTTTGGTATTTCACAATTGGAGCCATCCTCTTCGTCCTCGGACCGGTAGAAATTTGTTGACGTCATTTCATGTCCTGTCACGTTATATGCATATACTGTGTATATACCTAGTACGCTTATATACATCTTTTTATTATCCATTGCAAGACAGTTTCTCAACACTGAAAATGAGATGCTTCCTCTAGTCTTCAGAATGAAAGTAAACTTCAAGGCGAATGTGGTAAAGAAACAACTACTTAAAAATTATCAGCGATACTGGACAAGCGAAAGTTTCTTCTTCTTGTGTCGATTTCTTAAAAAAAGTCTCTGTCGCCCACGTTGAAATACCTACCATCCTCACCAATAGACCTAGTGCAACAGCGGCAAAAGGACTTGACCGAATACAGTGAGTGAAACACGTATAAATTATAATACCGTACGTTCTAGTGAAACTGTAGATACGTTTACAGTGTAACAATGGCTAAAGGAAATAGAAAAGGAAGAGGAAGAAGGTAAGAGAGAAAAAAATAAAACACAAACCTTTCTCTCAGCCGTGGCCGTCCTCTCTCAATCCCTCATGAGACTTATTTTCTAAGTCTCGCACGAAATCTCACTGGGTAAACCACTAACGTTGTTTTATAAAAAATAGAAAAATACAAAACTAATTACAATTCTCGTACTTTACACAGTTCGTGAGTTTCAAGTTTTCTTGAGCTCTTGCTGCCAAAGATGCCTATAGCAAAACAGTGTACAACAGAGAAAAAGAGAGCAGTGTACATACACATACACAATAACTATACGTGCGAGTGGATGAGAAAATTTCAAAAAAAAAAATGAAAGAACCAAAGGTATATACGTTAATAATTATTAGGACAAAAACAGGGCTAGTAAGGAGCCATAAAACCCACGATAGAATTGGTCGACTTCTCGCGTATGTCTCGCACGTACTAAAACTTCTCTTCCTCACGACGCCAACAGAACCGCACTGTCTGCAAGTGAGAAAACGTAAGAGGTACTCGCTGTGAGACTTCGATGCCGCCGCCGTCGTCGTCGTCGGGTGAGCTTTCTACGGAGGAGCCCAGAGACACAACCTGGTGGGGTTATACGAGAGCACTGGCGTAGACGCTGATGGTTCGTTTATTTGCACTCCATGATTTTCAACATTATTCTCTACGTGATACAGTGGTGTAGCATTCGTTCATTTGACGATTCAAACATTTATGCATGGTATAAACAATGGATTGAGGTTATGTGTTTAGATCGGTAATTTCTTTAGATGATACAGAGGGATTTGACAATATATCATTTTGCGTAGAGGATTCGGGATAAATTAATTAAAATGAAGATTAGTTGATATTTTTTTTACGTCACTTTAATAATTAAGTTTTCTGTTGTCGCCCTCTGGGGAAAGTCCTGTGTGGTACCTCTTTTTTACCCTTTTTATTTTTTTCGGAGGGATGCACGCTTTAAGGTCTGGAGGATTCTTTGATGCATTCTCTACGGTCGTTCGCGTCAACAGGACCGCTTTATGCATATATTCATCGGTGCACGAATGCATGTATCGCATTCCCGGATTCCATTCTTTGTTCAAGTTCAATAGCTTCTTCTTTGAGGACGACGTGATTCAAGGCTTTTGTCGTCCTTTGTCCTTTCGTCCTTTGTTGACTGATATTGAATATTTCGGTACGGAGCCGCTCAGTTACGAGGCATCGAGTGTTTGTTGGTTGGTGCTTATTTGCAGTTGGTTTAATTTGACTATCGTACAGGTTAATTTTTTTATTAATAAATTTAGAAAGGTAGTATACTTCAGTATACAAACTTCAGAAAGACCGAATCCATCTATGCAAGGAGGTGATTTAAAAATTTTATTAAGTTAAGGCAGGTAGACCAGCTTCTTTTTTTGGTTTTCCTATACCTGCTGCGAGTGCGAGAGAGACGGTCTTATGGGCATTTACGTGTGTTAAAAAAGAGCAGACACATCGATTGGCCGAATCGTGGGTTAATATCCTCTTTCTCCAATCGGCTGAACTGAGTAGAGTCTAATGATATTTGAGTTGGATATCCCTGTACATTTATGCTTCAGAGAATTCCAGGACGAGGACGGACTATCCAAATGATACTTGGTAATGTCAAAATGACACAATCTTCCAAGATTTTTAGAGTTTCTATGAATCGTAAAATTTCGGTCAATCCATCTCGGACGTTCTGATGTTATTTTTTGTTGGCTAATAACATTAGTGGTGTTTTCCCGATGCTCGCGTTAATTCTACAGTTACTTGGATATCCTTAAGGCACGTTCCCATTCCAGGAAAACGAGAGTAATGTCTGGCGCATTTTAAATATTTACGGAAAAGCGTGTAGCCGAACGTTAAACTAGCGAGACCGTGCAGCGTTGGCCAGCCAATCGTCAAGCTGGTCACTCACTTTCTATTGCCCAATCGTGCCAAGAAATTGCCAATGTTTAATTCTATCCTATCGACTGTGTAATTCTACAGCGCCTTTCAAAACGGATCGATCGGTCGCGTTAATAAACGATCTTCATAATCGATATGAGATAAGAAATATAATTGATTCGAAAATCCCATGTGAGATTCTCTTTCATATTTATGGTATATGTATGTACATCGGAATGTGTTCACAGGCAAGGAAGAATCGTCGATATGAATATTTGTTCAGTTCTCTAATTGATACTTTATAGAGTATTTTTATTGACGTGTACTGTACATTTTCATATTTTGTTTCCATTGGCATCCCTGTAGAGATCGTCGTTGATACCGTAGAGCCTTGGAGAGTCGTTGCAGTCAACCTACAAGAATGAAAAATAATTGACAGTCTGTTTTACCGACAGTGAACGGCACTAATCATGTAATTATGTATCATATCGTGTAGATGGCAGATAAAGCGCTTGCTCGCATGGTAACTAATTATTTATAAAAATTTACCTTAAACCACCAGTCGCAAACGCGTGTAGTTTGACTAAAGACAGTTCCGTTCGGGCACAAGAAGCTGTACTGTCTACCGTTCGGTAGACACCAGTGCCAGACCTAAATAAAATATTAATTCATTTAATGCAATCATTAATTAACGTTTTTATACGAGAACACACCTGACATCTGGCCTCAGGATCGGCATAGTATCCAGGGAGTTTACCACCGCAGGAAAATGTCAAGCCAAATGGTACGGAATTGTATATCGGGTAGTCTACGCCAGGGGTATAACCGTCGACTTGCTAGATGAACAAAATAAAATTTGAAAAATAAATTTCGTAAAATCATTTTAATCGTAATGCATGCATACTCTTTATAAGTTGCTATGGTATTTCAAAACTGGTCTTCACGGTTTCTCAATTATTTCTATCTCGACTCGGATACTCATCCGTTTCGCATGAAAAATTAATTGCGAATTTCACAATCGACCATTAGTCAAAAGTAACAAGGGGGTCGTGAATTGCGACATGAGATGCTTCTATATACACACGTTTACCCGGTTTTATGGCGCGCTAACTGACCGGATATTCAGGCACATTGTTCCATCCATGACCGGATACGCATCTCCAAGCCTTTCTATTCAATTCCCTCTCAGTGTATACAAGAGTGCAGTGTTACCGCCAAAACTAATCTGTGACCGTCTTATCGGGTAATTTATAATTGACATTTTTCCCGTATACCAAAATTACCAAGTAAACAAAAGAATCGCTGATTCGTTGAAATTAAATTAATGTAATATTTCATTCAATCATAAATTTAATTACAATTTTTCACATTGCTTTATATAGTCTGTGTCAACGGGCCAATGGATGTCGTGTTATTGTTTCATACGGATATGGAACTTCACAGTCTACAGATTTCATTGTTCTTGCAAAAGCAACAACAATGAACAAAAGTTCACGAAGTGCGAGTCTTGTCGCGCTTGTGCGAGCAATGCTCTAGTATGTTATGTATTTTATGGTTATGTTTGCTTACGTTCCTCTCGATTTGTTTTTATAATAACCAGGGAAAGCTTGGGACTTTAAAGGGTGCAAGTGAGTAAGGATCGTAACGGTTATGCAAGTAGTCTTTGAATTCATTGGTTAGTGTCGTGAGGAAGATTCCGTATTCGCGAGAAAGACTGTTGTCATTGTTACGCGATAATGTCGGCGCGTTACGTCTGGGAACCACGTGAAGTCCGGGATAATCTCGTGAAAAAATATTTTTCCCTGTGTATTACGGTGTAAAGATATTTTTTTCCTGCTCTTCCTTTTCCCTTTCCGCAACGGTTACCTAAGCCAGGCGAGGATTCACTCGTATACAATTGACAACGTATGCTGGATTCGAATTCGATATATCCACAATTCCTGTTTATTATCACTCACCGCCATTGTTGCGTGATATGCTAGAAGGGCGGCAGATACAAACAGGGCGGCTAATACTTGCCACTTGAAAATCATCTGAAAAATTATTGGTAAAATTAATTTTGAAATAAACAAAAAAAATTATTTAAATCAGATTCATAGTCAATATAAAAGTGGTGGTTAGTATTTGCTGTATACAATTTTATAAATATTTTGACTAAAAATGTATCGTTACTAACCTTCAATTTTTTATGTTATTCCACGATTGCAATTTCACTTCATTTATCCAGAAATTTTTTTAAAGTTTTTTTACACTTTTTTCTTTTAGAAAAACACGGATCTGGACGATACGTACCACCCTCGTCCCACCTCCTGTCAACCTATGAAATTTTTACCAAAATGTCACCCTCTTGCAAACCGCAAAGACGTCCGTCACAAAGTGGTTGGAGGATGTTGCCGAGGAGGTGGCTTATATATGGCGTTTGTGATATCCTCACCAGCGGGGAGTAGCAACATCGGACCAAGGTAGGGGATTCTGAGAGGTCCTCAATGCAAGGTATCCCACAACCCTGGCAGACCCCACCTTTTGCACGGTAACACTACGAAATCTTCATAATCCTCCTCCATCTCATTATATCTTTATCTCCGTAGTTCGTAGTGCATCTTCATCTCTCTCTCCCTCTCTCCCTCTCTCTCTCTCTCTCTATCTTCTTCCTGCTACCTTTTTCTAACCCTCTCCTTCAATCCTTAACTCAGTATATGCACATTCACAGCCACCTCCACGATACCCTTCCTTACCTACATACTCATTTTCCCACTAGTCAGACATCTGACTTGTTCCCATTCGACTTGAAATTCCTAAAGGAAGAGGATCCGTGGATTACGCAATGGATCTTCGCCAGCCGTGAAAACATTCGTAATACATCAGGCTGATCAACGAAGGGTGAACAAAAATTCTGCATGCTAATTGGAACTGACCTAATATTCGGGCTTAATGAAACCTTCGCTCTCGTCCCAATTGCATATATGAACTGGTTGTATGTATTAATTTTTTTTATTAATTTTTTGTTATTTGAGAGATGGGCTACGAAAATGTTGAGGTTATCCAACAGGTAGATGTGAAGTTTTCAAAAATTTTTTATTTTCATGCTTCTATTCTTAAACGTTTATCAGTATCTCTTGGCAATGGCGTCCATCCGGTACAGGGAAGCCGATAGGATCCAAGGTTGCACATGGAATTAGCATACGTAGCCGCCAATCAAAAAACTAGCCAAGTGAAGCCTCTCGTCCGTTCGGCCAAGTAGTGTTACGATACTACACCATTTTCTTTTTTTTTTGCACGTGGTGCGATTCCGAAGGTATTAATCCTTTTTAATTGTTAATTGCCAATGGGCGAGGATCCACGGTCTTTTGACGGTACCACCCTACCTGGAGGACGTGTGAAATTCCATGGATTCAGCCGACCTCGAAATTGCAACCATAGACTATGGAACACCTGTATAGATAAGTAGTGATTCATTTTTCCGGCTAGGAACACGAGGATGAGGATTCGTTATGAATTTCGTAAGAACTTCTTTTCGTTACCCTTGATTCGATTTTTTTGTTTACAAAGAAAAATCCAAGACACCACAAGGAAATATCCCACGTGGACAGGATATTTACTTCGGCGATCTTCGATGATTATAAAAACGTTATTGTGTATTTTTCACGCTAATTTATTGCTGATTCTTCACACAAGCTTTTTCTTTAAATTGTCAGGAATCAGCGAAACGGTATTAATTTGCACGAAAGAAAAAAAAAGGAATTAAGACAGATATACTATATTCGTGATGCTTGGATTGTGGTAAGACAGATGTAAGGATATTCTTGTAATTAATTAACTAATTATAATTAAGAATTTTTGTAATGACAAGCGCTCGACTGTCTTCTTGACTCCGCAGTGCAATATATGTCGTAACGATAATGATAATGAATGATTACTTGTGCAATTGCGTGAGAATCACTGTGAAATCCTGAAGAACGAAATGTTAATCGTCATATATAAATTATCATGCGAGAACAATAATGACGAAGTCACAGATGTATTTTGGAGTTCTCACTTTTTCCTTTAATTACATCTACTTAAACAATTCCCAAGCACAATTCACATTTATATTCTTCATCGCAACGTCAACACTTACATATATAGTTTAACAATTGTCAGGACAGTATGTAGTAATAACTATAAATATTATAAAAAATTAATATTCACGTAGTTTAAGGGACGCTCGTAAGAATCTGTCATGGCCGCTACGCGTCACTGCGCATGCGCGACGGAATGCTCTGACAATTATCTAACCTTCTCCCATTACTCTCGTCGCTCTCGAAGGGACTAGATCGTCGCGAAATTTTCATGCAAGTACGAATTAACGTGCAAGCCTTAACGTATTTATAATGACGTTTCTTTGACGCTCCTTGAATTACCTAATACGAAATCCCACACGCAGTTAATTCCACGAGTCAATTGTTACAGCTAAAAGTGTAGAGAACAGCTTAGCAAGCAGAGCAACGTGACTCTCATAATTTTGTCGTTCGAAAAAGTGAAAGATAAGGAATAACACGGACAGCGTAACGAAGGATTAAATACAAAGAAGGATATATGAAACAACTGAAATTCATTTATTACAAAATAATCAACTGTATACAACGTTAACACAGTCTATAAGTATGTCCATCAATATATCGTCTTGTCCATACGTTCCCTTAGTCACTACTAGTCTATATTCTTCGCGTCATTGGAACAAACGTAATATTACTGTCGCCAACGTCTCGTACGTTTCCATGAGTCGTTGTCGCGGTTCTCGTGAGAAACCAAAAATTCGAGAGGCGCACGGAATCCAGCCAAGTAGTCTCTACTAGTGTCTACACCCGTTACTTAAAGTCTTTCGTAATTCTATCTTGATTTCCGTGCGTCTTACCTTCTTTTTTTTCCTTACTCCCATATGACGTGTACAACAAGACAAGAAAGTTTTCTCACGTTCTACCACCCCATAGTCTGGTCAGCACAGAAGAAGCATCGATGAACATTAAGGTGTATACGAGTGGCAAAAAATGTAAAAACACTCGTCGACAAAATTATCGGTACAATAATCGTGATATGTATAAGATAATATTATATTTCCCAGACAAGAATAGCCAATGGCGTAGAATCATTGGAGTGCGTTGATGTAGATTGCAGTGTTAAAATCTGTAGGTGGAGTATATATATATATATATATATATATATATATATATATATATATATTCCACTCATGTGAATCCGTTATTATGAATTGCGTACGTGTACGCATACGTGGTATTTCTCTCTCTCTTTCTCCTCGAATCACACATGTAGCAAAAGGCGGCACCGGTCTTTCTACTAGTTGAGTTTATCAGTGACACGCACTCCACACGGATAGACTCCTTGTGTGTCCCATATTTTCGAGTGACTGTCGCTACGACGAACGACGACGACGACGACACTGAAGCCGCGTTTCCAAGTGCAGATACGCGTAATTATTACAATATTATTCGTTCAGTGTATCAAGTGTACCAAGTGCGTCTCGAACTGCCATCCCCTTTCGTACGTGGATACTCGTCTTCGTCCTTATCGTTTCCATTGGGAAATCTCTTTCTCTCTCGTTCTCGCCTGCAGGTACAGTTTTCTTATTTTGGTTTTACCGCTTACCGTAACCGCGAGTGTCGCTACTTTCTCTTTGATGTATTTTTTAATTTTTTTTTTCACTCTCTCGACTCTTCGCTCCCCCTTCGCGACGTCGTTCGAGCGTTTAAACGGACCGTCATTAATTTTAGTGAGAGTTTGAAATTTTGGGATTCTTAATTCAACGTTTACCTTTGTCCTGCACCCATTGACTCGTTGTCACTTTAATGATAATGTATTTCACTTTTTTTTTTAATTAATTTTTACTGATAACAATCAGTGATACGCTTTCGGCATTGGGTAAAAGATCGGATAACTCTTACTGATTCGTGTGTATTCGTAGTGGGTACCTTTATTTACTGTCAACCCATTCAGATTCTCTTTGTTTAACACAGTTGATTGGTACTTTTATAATTTTTAATTGTTATTAATTTTATTAATATTGACACTGCTACTGCATTTCGTACGTCAGATAACTCTTGCGGATTCACATAACTTAATAAATTTATAGATTTACAGAGTTTTCTATTATTCGTATCTTATAACGATCTTTCCGAACACTCGTATTTGACTCTGTTTAATTTCTAACCGCTCGGTAATCCTGACCGGTGGACTATGGCCACGGTTGAGCGCGCCGATCTCTGCGCACCAGGAATCCAAGAAACGTGAACGGATCACGGACCATCAGTCGATCGATCGGGATGATCGGGATCGGTTCGATTACCGAAGAGTGGTGTCGTGTTACGGTAGTAGAAAAAAATATTCTGTACTGTGATGAAGACAGGAAGAAAAGAAAAGAGGGAGAGAGAGAGAGAGAGAGAGAGAGAGAATTATAGGAGACTAAAAAAAATTAAAATATAGACTGGCTACCAGGTGATTCGAAGTCTCTTCGAAACGGTCTGCGCACTCGTTTCCGTTTGCCTCCCCTCTTTCTCCCCGCCCCCGCTCTTCCGGTCACCGTCGCTGTTAAAGAGGCGGGGGAACACTTCCGGCGTCCGGTCATTTTAATAAACGAAACGGAATTGCGTGTTTGGCGCGAAGTCGAAGATAAACAGTGGCAACGACGTAAAAGTCGATGAATCAGATTAGAATTCGATTCGACAAGTCCATTTGACTGGTTGCTCTTTTTTTTTTTATTATTATACGTATCAATAAATAGAGAAATTTTCTGTACCATTTCCAAGCTGTGCTACGTATTTTTTTTTTTTTTTTACGTGGTCTTCTCGACTAGAATTTTCTTACTGGCCAAGAAGCCAGTCTTAGACCTAGCAAGAGGTAACGGAGATACCGCGAAGACCGTAATAACGAGCAGTGACTATCATCTGTGACATATTTTACTTTGTTTAAAGGAATTTTGTCCATTGGTATTATTTTGTGTGTACTGTTTGTTATCTACACCCGTTATATTGAGAACGAGGATTCGGTAATTGTTGAGAGTGGTGGGATGTGATGTACATGTATATACCGTAGGACTCTTATACAGGAAGACGACAGGTGTATGGAGACAGGTGCTACAGGCTATTCAAAAAGTACCTGTGGCGTTCGTATGGTTTTAAAGTCGGAGAGAGGGAGGGGGGATTTACCAAAAGATTATTTTCTAAATTGGACATTTTCTCAGGGGTAACAGTGCGATAGCACGTGCCTCGCTCTACAGCTGTTATTTAACTGCCGAAAGAGAGTTTGTTTAGTGTAGCTAAAAATTTTTTGTTTTATTTCTACGTTATACAAATTTTTCTTTTTTTCTTATTTTCTCTCTCTCTCTCTCTCTCTCTCTCTCTCTCTCTCTCTCTCCTGCCACTTCCTTTTAATTTCGTGCATCGATGAACACCAGGTAACGTATTTTATTACTGATGAAATTGAGAGCAGCTTCGCTCGTGATAATATTTTGTTATATTATTTGTATCCCCTCTGTCACTTTGTTTTCTGTCAAAGTTGATTTTGCAAAAATTAATATGTTTTTTATGTAACTCAAAGTGCGTGTAATGCGATCGGTACGAAGCGAGAAATGACAAAGTTACTGTGCGATAGTGTATGCCTTATCAGTGGCAGCCCACCTGACTGCCGATAAGGCTGCTCCTAATCACTTTGACGATATTACGTTCTGCGATTCGTGACTGGCTCGTAGGTACAGAAATAAGTTGTGAGAGGAAAAGCAAGGGAGTCATTGACTCATTAAGAAGATTAAGAACAATAAACTGGACGATAAATTGGGAAAGAAAAGATTTTATATAACATTTATATGCGATAAGATATATTTGATTAATGAAGTTTATCATAATTTTGTATTTATTAGAATCGTTAACGTGATAGTAATCAATTTTGTTTTGTTTCAGATTACTTTTTTCAGTGGTTTCAGCAAAGTTTTATCGTTGAGCCATGGAGGAGGAGGATTTTGGATTTACCCGCAGGGCTGATAAGGTTCTCCAAAAGGTCATGAGTCCAGAATCACCGGCAGGAGGAAGTTTGGCTGAGAATCGTGCCCAGGGGGATGTACCTGACAGACTGAATACCAATGGTGGCTTCCTAAACAGCCAGAGCGAAGGCGTGGCGAAGGGTCAGGACTTACCGGAAACCGGAAGTCAACGAGCCGACAACAATAAAGAGCTACGCTCCAAGGCGCCAGTCTCTGTCGACACTCCGAACATACCGAATGTCGTCGAGTATCACTTAAAAGTGAAGCCGGGAAAGGATAAGAGTCCAGCTTCCAATAACGTGAGTGTAACAGTCAAAATAGATTCGTTGATAGGGTAAAAGTGCGAAAGATAGTAGGGCTTATTTTGAGAAGAGCCAGATAGGATATCCACGAGGAGTGAATTGTTGGAAGAAAATAAATATATCAGACTGTGAAGTGAGTTTACGTATAAATTCATTAAAATGGTTTTGGGAGATGTGAGTAAGAGATTTTTGGCTCTGGGATTGAAGTCAAGGGTTACCGTATACCAGGAAGAAGATATCAAGGTATCTTAACTCTTGTTTACGTAATACAGAATTATTATTGTTTTCGTTTAATGTAAAAATATACACTGCAGATTTTTCCCTAATTATTATTAATCACTGTGCTTCTGTGTTCAATAGACGGAAGGCAAGGACGAATTGAGGAAGGATAAAACGTCGGATCAAGATGGAAAGAGTCTGCCAACAAAAATGTCAAAGCTGTCAATGGATGTTTTCGAGGGCTCCAGCGAGCTGCCACAGACCTTCCAGGTGAAGTACCTTGGTTCACACGACGCCCGAGGTCTCTGGGGTATAAAGCACACACGTCGCCCGGTCGATAATATGGTGGCCTCTGCAAGATCTTTACCGACAGGGATGATCCTACCGTTGATAAAATTAATTGTGTCCGAGGACGGTGTCTCCCTTCTTCCGTTGGTAAAGAAGAAACTCGACGGGGGAATGTCCAGGACATATCCAATAGAGACAATCTCGTACGGTGTACAGGATCTTGTCTACACTAGAGTCTTCTCGATGATCGTCGTCAGGGAAACTGGTAATATACGTGGTATTTCACCGTTTGAATGTCATGCATTCGTATGTGAATCTAAGCACCATGCAAGACAGTTGACGTACGCATTGGCCAGTGCTTTTCAAGTATATTCGCAAAGCGTCAGAGCTCAGGGAAAATCTGAAGAGAGTATGAATAACGTTAAAAAAAGATTCGCCATTGATCTACGTAGTCCGGACGAGATTGAGGCGGATTTGAACCTCGATTCCGAAGCGTGAATAATTTTATCTTTATTAATTAATTATTAGTCCGAGAGAACACTCGGAAAAGTGCGCACTTGGGGATTAGTACTTAAGGAGCGTTCACGGGTTCGATGGTCGCGCGAATTATAGCAGGCAATAGCAGTTGACGTAATTTTAATTGTGAATTTGATCCTGAAACTTGTATTAATGTTTCCTTTTTTTTCTTTCAATTGAAATACTCGAAGTTTTCAAGGACATATGTAATTGCGACCCATTTTGTATCTAGAGGATTGCGGTGGTGCCGAGTAACAATGGTGGGAAGAGTTACTGTCTTTATGAGAGTTCTTCTCTCATTTTCCATTTTATATCCTTGTAGTATCCAGACGATATGTATAGAGTCGGCACAAATAGTGTGTTTTAGCGATAAGTAATTAGACGGGTGATCTTTAAAATTTCTTTCTTAATGCGACGCATTTGAAGCATACCTATGAATTGTCGTTGGATTAATTATGTTTTTCTTTCTTTCTGTCTTTTTTTCGGTTTTCTCTTGTTAGTTTGTTTTTTTTTGTCAGCAAAAGTTCGACGACTGTGCTAGCCTGTACGGGGCTACATACACGATGGCTAGCTATCCAAAGATATGAAATAAAAGGGATGAAACGTGCGCAAGTGAGAATTTTCCCTCTTGTGTTGTAAAATGCGTTGTGCGCATTGTGGTCAAGTACGACTGGGTGTTTATTACTAAAAGTATATAATGTAAGTTAATAAGGGCTGCTATTACTTTTTCCCCCCTTTGTCTCTCCCTCGCTCGCAGAGCTTTCATGATTAGAGCTACAATATTATTTCTTTAATGACTTCCAGGAAAGTACTGCGAGTGAGCGCTCCTCGTACGCGCCTTAGATTTACATTTCGTGCGAGCCTGTTAAACCACGATTAATTATTTATTGAATTATGATTTACGTAACGGTATAGGGGATTCCCTTTACTCTTAGTAGCTGTTTAAGTTCGCAACCAATATCGACACATATCAGTGGCTGTAAATATTATGCGTTTATGAGGATTTAATTGTTTTTACTTTTATCCAGGTACCGTATTTGTGTAATTCACGGTAACTCACGAAAATTTTATTATAAGTTATTACATAATTACGTAATTTTAATTGCTTGTGTAGGCAGTTAAGTATATTATTTGTTTCTTAGAACCAAATAAATGAATGTATTATATCAGTTATTCGTGACACTTTTTATTTCAAAAGACTGTAGCTCCTTCATTCTTTATTTAAAATTGATATTGGTCATAGGGTGATATGTTTTGTCGAGCATATTCATTCGAGTAGTCATATAAGGGTAGTCACCCTGTTAGAGTAGTTACATGTATAATAGACCATGGTGTCGGGGGTCCTATTCCAATTTCAGCTTGATCCACGTGACTTAAAGACAAATTTTTCCACCTGTCGTGTCGCAATGACAACAAAACTAATAGCAATGTTACTGCTAATAAAAGAATATTTTCCTTACAAGTTTGGATTTCTGCTTTTTTCGCTTGCTGATACTTGTGATGCTGTCATATAACTCCAATCAGATTAACCTCCAGTACCATGTAGGGTAACGGTTTTCGGGTCATGTTTTGAATGACAGATTTTTCTGCACAGCTCATTTCCTCCTTCTGTCTAGGTTTCTCCAGCCAATCATCAATCATCCAGTCCTGGAGTTCTTGGGCTACAAGTGGCGGCCACTACCACTATTAATTATGAAAGAGCAAATTTTTATTTACTTCTTGATTCAAGTTTTATTCGCAGTTCAGTAGAAACAATTACAATGTGTACTTATCCAAAAAATTGTTATCCTACTGAGGACTGAGAAGGCTATGTATCTACCAGTAATAAGACAAGGAGTTTCACGAGTATTCTCAGAGATGGCGCAGTGATTATTCTTCAGGAGATGCTGCCCCCTTAAGCGGCGAATCTCGAAACTATAACTGTCGTAGATTGACGGGAAGTATCGATGGTGCAATGACGTAAAAAAGCATCAACAGCTTTAGAGTGCTGTAATGACGCGATACGGTGTTTAACCATTTCCAACCATAAAAGAAAAATGCTTTATAAAAAAGTTTTGATTTTTTCTAACATATCTCCATAATGCTACTGATACTTACCACTCATTTAATAAACGATAAATTCTATAGCTCTCATAATTTATACAGTAAGTGTGAACTAATTCAAGTGGACGCTTTCCCCGAACGAAAGTAAATTTTCCTTAAAACACCCAAAAGCAAATACAAAAGTAATAAGTAATTTAAAAAAATATATAATCTCCAATAGATATTTTGAAAAAAAAAAAAGTTAAGGATTGTTCTTGCAGGATATTAAAATACATCAAGGTACTCAAAATACGTGTCAGCACATAGTGAAAATATGTAATAAACATATTTTATGCAATATATGAAAACTTATTGATACATAACACCGGCTTCGTCAGCAGCTCAAGCACCAGCTCTACCACCATAGACAAATCTCCACCGCCACTACCAACCGTCCTTATCCATTCTTATCATAGTCATGTAATTAGTATTACATTGACATTTGACAGAGTAATTATTAATCGCGAGTGATATAAGCGCAGAGAAAGGTAATCGTGAAGATGTGTTTGTTCCATAATAAACAAAAAAATATAAAGAATCGAAATAAGAAATGCCAAAAGCCTTACACGACAAAGTTCACTCACGTGACCATTTCCTTTCGCTATTCGTATTTTTAAAGTATAAAGTAGATGAGGTGGAGATCAGATTCGAGGCGGCAGAGAAGGCAGCGCAATAGGGCAACTGAAAAGTTCTCTCTTGCACCCTCTTTCTATCTCTCTCACTCTCGTTCTCTCACTTTTTTTCTTTCTCTTTCTTTTTCTTTTTACTCACAAATTTGCACACAGTCTCTCTCGTCTCTCACACGTACTCGCGGCGCACACGCCCCACTCGCATTCTCTAAATTACGTGATACAAATCAGTGCGCTCACCGTTTATAATCGTACAATCCAAGGATTATTGTATGTATTATTATATACAGAACAATTTTTCTTAAGTGTAATTGCAACAAAAAGAAAAAAGAGAAAAAACGCGAGAGAACCATCTCATGGTATCTCGCATCATCTTTTTTCTCATTCTCATTGTTTTTGCTTCCTCTTTTTCATTTATTACAACAAAACGCGTGTCCTGATCGATTTCTCTCAAACGATACTCAATTTTTAGTTGTTACGAATATCAGAAATATTGTTTGACAAGGATCATATTTTTGAGAACGATCGTTCAGAACCCTTATCATTACACAGCCCAAGAAGCAAAGGTTCTCTCCGATTCTATATCCTTCTGCTTCTCACAGATTAACATTTCCAAATTTTCACCTTAAAATTATCGCTCCTAACGTGGCTGTACTTTCCTTTGCGCTATGCATAAATTACGGGCTCTTCGATTAGTGGAAAACAAAGTGGAAACCACCTCGATGAGGTTAACGGAGATTCTAGGTAATAGCTTTTTTTTCTCTTAATATTTCCTTTTTTCATTCATTCCGTCGCCGTTGGTTGACAAAAGCGTGCAGCTTAACAAAATCAAAAAAAAAAGTATTAAAGAGTATTGAAAATTGATAAGAAATTATACATTTCATCTCCAATCTTGAGTAGTCGATGAGAACTCAAATTTGAGACTGTTTACGTTGCCACGTGATTTTTGATTTTACCTTAAATAAATTTCACGAGAGAAGTAGACAAAAGAAAGTCTGAAAGATATGGCTTAGCCAGTGAAAGATATTTTGGTTTTTGTTGACGTTCATTTTTTTTTAAGGAAACTCGTATTTTCCTCTCCATCGTTTTCATCAGTTTCACCCTCCTTCCCTTACCGCGTGAACATTATAGTAATTAATGGCAATAATTATAACAATAATAACAATAATAATGACGATAATAATAAACTGCCTATTCGTAAGTAAGCTGTCAGCGTTTTTCATTAGTGACTAGATTATCGTTATATATCGAATGTCATTCATTTATTAATTACGTCCTAAAATACTGAGCAAAAATTAAGGGGACGCGATCGGGGACGTCGGCGTCGATCAACGCGCGTCGTTTCTCTGAATTTAAACATTTATTTTTGTAAGTTGTTTAATTTTGCAAGTTTTTTTTTATAAATATTTTTTTATATCGTTTTGCAGTTTCGAATGTTTCGTCATTGAACAGATGACGAGTTTTCCCTGTTAATTATGCCTCAAGAAATTCACGTGACGAAAAATCGAAAAAAAAGTTTGACAGTTTTCAAGAAGCTGATATGAACGGCAATAACGAGAAAACATGTGACTAAGGGAGAAAGAAAAGGAAACGTGAAAGTAGAATTAACAATAACAATAGTAATAAATAATATAATAATAATAATAATAGTAATAAATAATAAATAATAATAAAAATGAACGAAAATGCAATTACGATATCCCAATAAGAGAATTGCAATCGGTTTGGATCGGCTCGGTTCGCGTACGACCCCGTCGCAGTCAATAAGAATCGCTTTTATTACAACGAGATTAAAGACTTCTAATTGCACCAATTACAGTTTCAGGATAAAACTCAGTTCGGATGAGAGAATTTACAAATCGGATAAGAGCGTCGACTAAATCATGAAAAAGAAAAGCCAAATATCAACGGTATACGTACGAGTAAAATTCGAGATATTTTGTAAAAAATTGTACAATGTATATATATGTATATATATTTATATGTATATTATTGCGTAGGCATATATCGTCGGTATTATTTTACTCCATTCGCAACACGCTCCAGCCCTCGTAATTCTTTCTCATTCACTCCCATCTCTCAATCCAGACTATAACGCGTTCAATTCTGGACGAAGTTTGAAAATTTTCAAATTTTCGCGCCCTCATACACGCTACAATTTCCCGTAAGACGCAAACATGTCTTGCGATCGTGCCGCTAATAATAATGAATAATATTAATTGAATAACGCACGTGTACTCGTGTATAACCGTAAAAAGGTTCTCTACGTTCGCGTAATAGAAGCGGCCCTATTTTTTTTTTTTCAAAATTACGTTTATTCTTATTTTTTTTGTTTTTGTTTTTTCTTCACTTTTGCCCACTACTTCAGTTTTGCATTTAATTAACGCTGCTCGTTACTCTCTCTTCAGTCATTCAATATTCAGCTATTTTTTTTTACTGATTTCTTATTTTCCTTCCCATCATTGTACTTGTTTGTTTAATTATCGCATACCCTAGAATTCTCGATCTGGTTGTGGATGTAGTGGAGAAGAAAAGAGAAAAAAAAATCGATAGAATGACAGAACTCTCAATCGCTATCGTTCCGCTTGCCATAGGATGATTTTTATACCTTAATTATTCTCGATTCAATTTTTTTGTTTTTTCAATATTTTGCATTTATTAAAAATGGCTGTATATACCTACGTTCAATAAAAAGCATTAATTCGAAAGGATTGGTATCTTTCTTTCTTTCCCATTTTGCCCGTCCCGTTTCGATAAAGTTGCAGAAGAGAAAATGAGCTACGTGTTGAAAGTGAAGAATATATAGATTTTTCATGTGAAAAAAATGCACACGAAAATGAATAATAATTATCATACGTCGAAATACACTTTAGGTCTTTCAAACATCGATGCACAATTAAGGCAGTAAATAAAAACGATATTCTTTCCGCCATCTTCGCGAAACGATATTCAGTGTATACACGCTGTAGCACATACAATAGTTGATATCTATATATTTATATCTTTGAATCTCTATTCTTTTTAGCTTGTCTACCTTCATTGCAATCTAGATACACGCGCAAGTACGTGATACGTAACGCGGGTGAGCGTGTGTTATTTTAGCTGAGAGAGCTACTCCCTCGGCCTATTAAATTAATCAAAGAGAAAGAACGAGATAAAACGGTAAAGAAAGAAAAAAAGAAGGGAGGAAAAGAAAGAAAGAAAACGATCGGCATCCATATTATATTCTCGTCGCTATTCTTACGTTGATTCTTAGTTTGTCTTTTTTTTTTTTGGTACTTCATCGTAGAAAAATTTATCCCGAGGCAATTCAAACGAGGACATTTTTCCCACATCGATATCAGCCCGTCCACGTGCTCCCTCCCGTTGATATGAATCGAACGATAGTCAGCGAAATTCTTTTTATATTTTATATCCCGCAGGAATCAATCGCCTTAAGCAGATTACCCGAGGAAAGTCATTTGTGGAGAGCGTAAGGACGCTATAATAACCCACGGGATAGGAAGTTCGACTGACCCTCCTACTATTCTGTCGGACGCACATTATCTAGTCGTCAAACGGCCGATTTATTATGATAAGTTTCAGTCGCTACGTTTAACCTAGATATTTTCGTACGTCGACCCGTCGCAAGATGGCGCCACGATAAAACATTTATTCCCATAAGTATGATCACAGCCAGCATCCCTTAACTGCCATGATCCTGATCCAATTCGTCTAACGATTCCAACCTAGCTATTGGCGCTTCATTTATTGTAAATTCCCAGGACATGTCGTCGCTGGTCTGACGCGAAGACTCCTGCCGTCCACCAGGTCCACCCTGGCTATCTGTATGTCGACCTTCAATGCGCTGAAGCTCGCTGGATCCACGATGATTCGTTGTGTCTCTTCGAGAATCTCCGCTTCGTGGACGCTGTGCGTATGGGCGCTCTGACACTGCCATTGCGCAACTCCAAGGATCGTCCGTTTCCGGTTCTGAGCGTTTATTGAACGACGTGTATCTGTGCGATGGACGAGAAACGAATTATATATCACGTTTGCAATATGCTTCTGCAACTTTTCTCCTAACTTTTTAACTTAATGCAATTACGGGCATTCGTTCATCCTTCTTACCCCGTTCTGAACTCTCCCCTTCTAAATGCTGCTGGCTGACTGTGCCATGCGTGGGGCTGATGAGCTTGCTGATTATTTGATGGCACTGCCAGGTCCACTGGCTGACTTTGAGACCTCGTGGGCGCCGATCTGCTATTCAGGGCTGTCTGCAATGCTGTTGCTAAGGCTGACGTGTCGGATGTCACTGTCAAACGCGAGGCTCCTGATGAGGTTGATGTTGGCTCTCTCGTTGGTGGCCTGAATATTCGTTTCATGAAATTAGTATAGTCATGGATTAAGAAATTGTATTTGCGACTTTTTATTAATAAGTGGGTACTATGTTTATTGATAAAGCGAGAGTATTTATTCATAGCCAGTCTAGTTCTACTCTGCATATGATGATTTGTCTTCATATTTTTGTTTTTGCAGGATTTTGTTTTAAGCTACAGCTAAATTCGGAAGTTGTGCGATAAGGTTATTTTCGTATATTATTCTTTGATAATTGTCTTCTTTTTTGGAATTATGAATTCAGAACCAGATCAAAAATCCTGCGGGGAATTCCTTCGCGAGGGAGGAAGTTTAGAACAGAACGAAACTCAAAATAGGAATGACTTGGAAGTTTTTGAAGAACCTCAAAAGTCTGAGTACGTTTTCAACATTTTGTTTTTTATTCCGTTTATTCGAATTTTTTTTTCATTGCTTAAAGAAGTCAGAATTTGCCAAAAAAAGATACCAAGATTGAGAAAAACGTTAAGGCGTTTGGAAATGACCTGAAGCGGGTTTTTTCAAGTAAAATTCGTGGAGTGCCGAAAAGAATGAAATCAAGAAAGTCAAAGGGATCGAATAAAAATCGAAATATATGTAATAAGGATGATATTTCGTTATCTCCAATCAATAAATTACCAAGAATACCGAAAGAAGTTTTTAGGGTGTTGGAGCTGTTACGTCATGAAAATTTTTTAACGTACGTGGAGCGTTATTACAATCCCAAACTGTAACAATTTAGCCCGTACAACAATATACTGTAGCGTGAATTAATATGTAAATACAATTTGTTAATCAAAGAAATAGTCCATTAATTAAAGAAACTAGCAATATAACGAGGAAACAAATTAAAAAAGGGGGCCCTCTGTCACCTTCGAAAAACGTCGAACCTCTCCAAAAGAAAAGAGGCCGAAATCAAATGCAACTGATCCAGAGATTTTGAAAGAAAGCTTTTGCACACAATTAAACGATTAAAATCTTGAGTCATCTCATTAACAAAGTCTTATTGTGATTCATAAATCTGAAAAAAAGGAATAATACCTTACCTGAACAATCCATGAGATGTGCTAGGCTGTATCTTTCCATTCCCATTACTACTAGTAGATGGTGGTACCGTAGGTGGTTGAGGTTCACTGGCCGACCTCTGCACAAGTGCTGGAGGTCTACCAGAAAGCCTAGAAGTACCTGTAGGCGCAGTACCTGGCATCATCTCTATACTTGAACTCTCCCTAGAAGAATTAAGAGTCTGTTGCAAAAGGGCCAGGATCAGTCTGATGTCTCCAGCCATGGAATGTTCCAGGGACGACACCTGTCTCGAGAGCTGATCTATCCTGGCATTTATCTCATCCAAGGGTCGACCTGGACCACTTTGGAAGTCTCCTGAAAAATGAATTATGATAAGGTCAACTTGTGCCAAAGCTAAGAAACACTTTACTGTTTCCTCTTCATCTATAATCTCTTCCAAATTATCTCACTCAATGTATTCAGGAAGGACTATACCTTTACGTATATATGTCATGTATGTGCCAGGACTCACCATGTGAGTGAGGATGTTGAGGAGGTGAAGGGGTTGTATAGTGACTGGATGTGGTTGAAGCGGGATGCACCACGTTGTGACTAAGACAGCTCTCGCCGGCGGCCGAACTTCGACGCCCCGGCCTTGTTAGTGGCGTCGTCACTGAGGGAAAATTCATTTTCTAGTTCCTTTGATTTTTTCACGAATTTACAACGGTTTATGTACAAATGAATAATGTAGTTTTCGCTTTCTTCGGTTTATTTACATTCAACGTGCGCTCAAAAATCTCGAGTCTCTAGGATTTAGAGCTGTGAAGTCCCTATGTCTTTAGGGAGAATTTTAGTCCTTCCTGATGATCAACTACTACGACCACCCCGGATTTTGCTTTGATTCGGTATATTCAAAAGTTTCCCTTCTCTGATTTTTTGCGTGACATCTCAACAAAATTGTGATGAGAATTATTTCAAACCCTCCAAGGAGACGATTAAGCTCGACCAGGAGACCAGAGACTCCTTGAAGAGTACTCACTCTGCTTGGCGAGGTAGTCGTGACTTGTCAATGGCTGAAGATGAATCTTGTGCTGACGTAGATCCGGAATGCTGCGCTTGAGATGGGTTAGCATGCCTGAACAACCAGGTTTCAAGGTGTTAACGAACCGGGATACAAACACAATCGCAAGGGGTAAGAGCAAAAGCGGAATTTGAAAAGATTATGCACACTTCATTCAGTGTAATAAGTACAGTAGTGAAGAGGGAAAAGCTGAGCAATTAAGAAATTAAAAATATAAAATGAACTGCATTGTAGCAGAATAAAGGGAGTTTCTTTTTACAAAGCTATATCGTGATGTATGATGAGTGTGATATATCGATACTGATTAATAGTCATGAATCTATAATTACATAATCGTGCAGGTTAATTCATTCCTCATACAAAAGACGAAAAGAAAGAAAGGACATTTTTGAGAAACCTCCTTAACACATCTTTTACATTGCTCTGTCCTTTGACTTAATGTAATCTTTGACTCACCCGTTATGGAATTCAAAGTCGAACTTCGTTGCTTTGGCTCGTCAAATTCTAAATTCAATGGCGTCACATCCTGGCCAGCTTTATCAGTGTTCAATTCCAGTATACCATGTCCGCTACCCTTATCGCTAAAATGTAAGCGGCAAATTATTTACTGTGATCAATGCGCGAAAAGACATAAGTAATGAGAAACAATATTTACTACTCGTCCTGATCATCCTGGAATGAATCCTCTCGACCGGCCGACACTAAATTTGTCCCAGGACCGCTGCCGGGAGCTCGACGATATCTCGGTGGACGGAAAGCGAATCTCCTGGCGTCAACGTCGACGTCAGTGGGTGTGCTGACCGGGAATCTAGCCGACATGGGATCAACCCCAGCTTGCTCCTCCTAATTGTTCCGAAAGTGCATTAAAAAAAGTCGTGTTAAATCAAATAAATAAAACAAAAATTACCATCATCCAGACAGAAACTCACGTCTCTCATGTTAAAGGTGATTTCCAAATTTTGACTAAAGTGATTTGCAAACTCAGGATAGAGAGCGAGTACGTCAAGGAGATCATCCCTATGAATTTTATGGAGGTCGCAGGAGGTGAGCGCGCGAACGTTGCAGGACGATTTACCCACTGTCGGATAAATGCATGGATTTTCTCCAAATATATCGTCCTTTCCCAGAATCGCCATTACGATATTGTCTTTAAGAATTTCAATGCTCCCACGTGATATAAAGTAGAGGGACGTCAAGACGTCGCCACGATGCACCAGAGTGTCGCCAGGTGGTGCATGAGTAGTTTTGAATTTCAAAGACAAAACTCTATAAAGACACAAGATACGATTGAATGACATAACCTCAATTTTTCAAACTAACGTGATCTCACGTTGTCTTCCTTACCTTAAACAACCTGGACTGACGCCATGAAACGCTGTACAATTCTTTAACAAATTTCTATTTAGATGTAAACAGATGTCTGCCTGAAGACATTCTGGGAAACCTTTCAGGACGCTGTTCATGTCGATTCCATTGGTGTAAGTCCACGCGTGTTGAAAATATTCCTCCAATCTCTGACGCAGCGGATTTGGTATCTGATGAAATCTTATGAACTCCCGTACCCGCAGCATCTGCGTGTGATATCTCGCCGTACCGCTGTACAAACGTTGAATGATGGCGGATACGTTGCCAAAAATACTGGCATACATGAGGGCTGAAAAAAGAGATAAGTATAATATATAAAATTAGAACATTTCAGAGCATCCTTTTGAATTTCTTTTTAATATCAGGTTACTCACATCCTATCAGCATCACGATTATTGTAAATATCTTTTCGGAATCTGTATTGGGCGCCACGTTTCCAAAACCCACCGACGTCAAACTGCTGAAGGTGAAGTACAGCGCAGTGATGTAGCGACTCTAAATAAGAAAAAAAAAAAAAATCTTTAATAGTAATTACATACATTTTTCTCAATTTTCAAAATTAATTTAATAAAACAATCAAGACCAATACCCAAGCAAATAACATACCTTGATACTGGGTCCTCCAGTATTATTATGTGAATAAAACTGATGAGTGTCGTTAGCAAGAATATCGAGCCAGCCAACTTTACTCTCAAGATTCGGTCTCTCTGCGTTCCCTATGGCGTACCTTTCAACAAAATAATAAAATACACTCAACCAAGTATTCACATACTTCAGCCAAAATATATATGTATACTCAAGAATGCGATATATACGTCAAGCTAACAAAGAGACGCTTCTAGCAAAAGACTCTTTTTGTGGATCTAATTAACCTCGAAAACCAATAGACTCCAGGCATAATTAATTAATTAATTAAAATCTTGACAAACTTTCTTCATTATTAGCAGTCATCGCCGACTACTAAATTTCAAGCTTTCCAGTATTATTCATTCTGTCGCTCAATTTAAATGCGATTTATCCTCGACCCTTTTCTATTTACAATTTTTATTATTTTCTTTCAATTAATCATCAGCCCCAGCCACTTACCAGATACAGGCCATCCAGTGTGCAATGAGGGCGAACGAGGCCATCAGCAACAACAAAACGGCAGCCCCGTATTCGCTGTATCTGTCGATCTTTCTCGCCACCCTGACGAGTCGCAGTAGACGAGCAGTCTTCAGGAGGCCCATTAGCGTCGTCGTCTGGAAAGAAGGTGCCGACTTTTGTCCTGTCTAAATGGCGTCGCGACGCGCTCAGCCATCCAAAAGCAATATCCGAAATTCGCGCCACGAGGAGACGTGAACGATAATAATGTACATAAATGACGCGACATAGAAAAGAGGGGGGGGCGGGAAAAAAAAATTGTGCACATTTTTTGAATTTAAAAAAAAATTGCAATCTTCGAAAAAGCGTTCACTACTGTTTCGTGGGCGAGATACGGACCGTTGAACTTTTGACAGTAATTAATCAGGGAAAAAACTACTACTGCCTAAGTCCAGAAAACTAAGTACACGCGGTACCGAATTAGTAGATTTCAAATTTTAGTTATGTTCAAACGAATCATGCGCAAAACGTAACTAACCTTTAATGTATCGATTTAGCGACCTGATTGACAAAATTGTTTTATTTGGATATTGATAAAATATTCTAGCTTTTTATTAAAAAATAATAATAATCACGTAATTAGGAAGAATTACAATGTGACAGGACAGAAAACAAAGCGACAAATTCAAGCGATTAATATATACAGTATATACATGTATCTACGTGGTCATATATATATGTATACATATAAAATACTGTACATACATAGGAATAGGATATGTATATTAATATAATTACTCAAAGCGCATTAACCGTATGTCATATACACATTCAAAAATACACTAATGCATAAAAAGAGCTAGGCAGATAAAGACAGAAATTAAAAAAAAAAAGAATAGATGATTTTTTTTCAAAAATTTACTCTCTCATTGACTTAATCGAAAAGAGCGCTGTCAAATTTGTTTGATGCATTTAAATCGGATAGCCTCTTCGTACAGGAACGACCGTACAATACAAACCACGTCTGTACCCACGTCTGTATGTACAGTCCTGACGCAAGGAAGCAAATGCAAAAAAAATATAAAAAAAATACAAAGGGCCTTAAAGTACGAAAATCTTTGATGAAGGCAAATAAAAAAAAGATTGTAAAAAAATAAATAGGAAAACTCGAAAGAGCCGCGACGACATAGCAAAGGAAGAATAGAAAACGTAAAATCGACGAAACTATTATTACGTGGCAACTGAAGAGAAATTGAGAAGGAAAAAAAAAATAAAGAAAACTTATCGCGCTAAATTCGTGGGGCTGGACTCTCGTTAAATTTTTTTATCGTTAAAAGCTTTTCGACTGCTTACAACCCGAGAGCGTATATAATGCATTATCGCCTTTGTACATGCCGAATGTATAAGTTGGCATTCATTTTTTTCTCCTCTTTAAATTTTGACTTTTTTTTTTCTAACTTCAGGTTCTTTGCCTCGTTCCTCTCGTGTCTGTGTATCGTGTGTTTCGATTAATCGAGAGTCCCAATTTTATTAATTTTTATATTTAATCATCGTATTCTCAAACGTCGTTATCGATGCCCGTCGTTTGTGTTTCCTTTTAATTAAAATTTTTTTTTACACGATTACATAAATGTTTTCGACTTTTAGGTTAATTCTGGTTAATTTGATAATTCGCAAAAAAGACGGTTACTCGTAATGCAAATTGGACAGAACTGTGCAAAAATTGAGATTAGTGTAAGGTGGATTAGTGGTAGTGATGGTGGTGGTGGTAGTGATAGTAGTAGTAGTGATGGTGGTGTAAGCTTATAATTGAGATAGAGAAATATATTTTTATATATTTTGTATAAAAAAAGGGTTAAAAAGAGAGAGGGAGAGATAGAAAGATTAAAAGTGAAAAATAAAAAATAATTGGGGGGAGAGAGAGAGAGAGAGAGAGAGAGAGAAAGCGTTTGAAAATTTTCGAATTTCGAAAAATCAAAAATTATAATAAATAGGCAAGAGCAGAGTAAAGTGTATAAAAAAATTAATAAAGAGAAAAAAAGTAGAGTAGAAGAACTAATGAAGAGAAGAGAAGAGAGAGAGAGAGCGAGAGAGAGAGAGAGAGAGAGAGAAGGAAGTGAAATAGAAGTGGAAAGAGAAAGAGAGCAAAAGAAGTTTGTTGGCTGGTGGATTTACGGAAGAGAAGAGAAGAGAGAGAGAGAGCGAATTTTCGAATTTCGAAAAATCAAAAATTATAATAAATAGGCAAGAGCAGAGTAAAGTGTATAAAAAAATTAATAAAGAGAAAAAAAGTAGAGTAGAAGAACTAATGAAGAGAAGAGAAGAGAGAGAGAGAGCGAGAGAGAGAGAGAGAGAGAGAGAAGGAAGTGAAATAGAAGTGGAAAGAGAAAGAGAGCAAAAGAAGTTTGTTGGCTGGTGGATTTACGGTATAAAAATCGGTTGTTATCAAATCTGCGTTGAAAACTTCAGGCTGTGTCAACTAACCTCGTCCTTGTCCAAGCCGAGCTACGGAAACGTAAAACTTGCGATTAAAATTCTCTTTCAAGTTCGATCATTCCATATTTGAATTTGGCATCGTCCTCTCATCAATTAATCTAACCGTTCCATCGTAACTCTCACAATATCGAGTCTTTCGTAGTCTCTTTTTCATTTCATCTTCGATTCCTGTTTTTATATATATATATATATATATTCCTCCTTCCGTTCATATTTCCCACCATTTTCACCCGCCCGTTGTAATATACGATTTTCACATTTTATACTGTTATTTCAGTTTTCTTATTCCCCCCACGACTGCCATTACTCGGCATTGCTAGCACGTGGGAATGGCCAGAAGAGAAAACAAAAAAAAACATAGAACAACGTAGCAACACAGTACAAAAGAGGGGGGATGG